GCTTAAATAGTGTGTGCAATCAGTCTCTGACAATCCTCAAATGGTGTGAGTGTAATCAGTTCAGGTGAGGAAGCATGTGTGTCTGGGTGAAGTGCATGTATGAATATGTAGTCCAGAAATGGCGGAATTGTAGTTCAAGAGTTATTGTTAGTGAAATCCAGCGATCTTATAAAAGACGATGGCTGGTAATCGTGACACACATCACTGTCTGGCTGGTTTCTGTCCTCTACTTATGATAAAAAGCCAAAAATAGTCCAACATTCCTGACCATGATCACCAGTAAAGCCTAGAAACAGGCGTCAGTACACTGAAAACTGATCGGCTCAAATATTCTTTTCCAGTTATTAAAGAAATTATTTGTTCCTTCATTATACTTTCATAACTATTGTTTTAAATTCAGAATCGTGATATAAACATCAGTGTAAAACAGTGGTGGAAACACAGATTCTGTAATTGTGTTCTGGGTCTCCACTTTTGCCATGACCTGTTTTGTCTTTAACAAACTCATCCCTCATGTTTTTCCAAACCTTTTAACAAAATCCTTCCTCCTTTCCCACGGCTGTTGCAAATTCTAGCCAAGAATTATTGATGATCTGGTTATCTCTATGATCACAGATTATAAAGATGTGTGTACACGTGTACCTGTTTAAATCTCTTTATAGTGATTCATATTCAACTCAAATCAAACGCGGCGCCGCACGCACTGTTCGCTCGAGTCTCAAAGAAAAATCATGCACCCCCCCCCAGCCGAAATCATGCTGTGTACACCCAAAGCGAACTTCCTCAAACACAGCGATGACGTCACATTCGCCTCGCGCACTCAAGCAAGCTAGCGGACGCGTCGAGTATAAACCTGGCTTAAACCAGTCAGAAGTGCCTCCTCACCATCTGACCCACTGGTCAAAAACACGTCCTTTCTCCTGTGCATTCATTTACAAATAACTGTAGAAGAATCTATGCTTATGTATCTGCATTACTACTAACACTATGTTGCACGGTGGCTCAGTGGTTAACACTGTGGCCTCACAGCAAGCAGGTCGCTGGCTTGAGTGGTTCAGATGTTTCTGTGTGGAGTTTGCATGTTCTCCCCGTGTTGGCGTGGGTTTCCTCCGAGTGCTCCAGGTTCCCCCCACAGTCCAAACACATGCGCTATAGGGGAACTGATCAACTACACTGGCCGTAGTGCATGAGTGTGTGTGTGTGTGTGAATGAGTGTGTATGGGTGTTTCCCAGTACTGGGTTGCAGCTGGAAGGGCATCCGCTGTGTAAAACATATGCTGGATGAGTTGGCGGTTCATTCCACTGTGGTGACCTCTGATGAATAAGGGACTAAGCTGAAGGAAAATGAATGAATGAATAATTCCAGCCCTAAAAAAGGAGTTTCTGCAGATGAAAGACTGTCTCTTTCTCTGCTGAACTTCACTTGTGAAATCCGTGAAAATCATTTTTGTCTTGGACCCGCTGATGTAGATAGATTATATGAAGAGTGATGTGTAACTGTGGCTGTAAACTGATTCAGATCTATCTTTAATAAACCCGAAGTGAAAGCTCATAACATCATCTGAGCTTAAAGAACATTTCTCTGCATCTTCAGCCAAACGCCTCTTACTTTCAGCCATCCCTCATCCGTCTGCAGCGAACATTCCCAGTTTATCTTGGCTTGTGGAGTCACTGGAACAGTCTGGCAGAGCCTTTTAAACAAATTTACAAGCTGCTCGACACGTAATGAGAAAATGCCTTTCCTTCAAGCGTCCAAAAATCTGCTTTTTTTCCTCCATTTACCTTTTGTTGTTGAGTTTTTGAGTAAAACAAAGCTTTTGCTTGATTTCGCAAACTGCTGATGACATTCCTCCAACTTTAGACACAAATTTAGAAATGAAAATGACCATAAAATAACAAACATGAGAAAATAACACGTATAATTGTGTTTTTAGAGCACGCAATACCAGTGATTTAACTTCTGAACAGATTTAAATGCAATTTCAATCACACACACACACTCACACACACACACACACACACACACACACACACACACACACACTCATAATATTTTCTATAGGATGCTTAATGATGCATCCAAATATGTGACGGCTGCTTTTTTGACTCCAGCAGATCTGTGCAGAGAAGCATATAGAGGTGTTTTCGTCAGGTGTGTGTGTTTTTGCATCTCCAAACACACACACACACACACACCGAGATGCCAGTATTCAGCCGATGGTGAAACACAGAGTCTGTAAAGGAAGCCTGGTCTCCATTCGGGCTCCAGTCTTCAAGGTCAGGCTCTGCATATAATGACTTGAAGGCTCTGCTACACTCATATTTGAATAATAAATGGTGTTTGCATGAAGCCTCTGCAGATTTAGCACCATTTACATTTCAGATATTGAGTTTGTTGCACAACAATAAAATATTGTTTGCAACTAGTGAAACAGTGGCTTTGACACAATCTACATTGCACTAGAATGTGGTTATTTCAAGCATTTTCTGTTTGTTTGTTTGTTTACTATAATGATATATATGTATATATAAAGTCAGTTGGCGTTTCTGTGTGGAGTTTGCATGTTCTCCCTGCGTTCGAGTGGGTTTCCTCCGGGTGCTCCGGTTTCTCCCACAGTCCAAACACATGTGGTACAGGTGAATTGGGTAGGCTAAATTGTCCGTAGTGTATGAGTGTGTGTGTGAATGTGTGTGGATGTTTCCCAGAGATGGGTTGCGGCAGGAAGGGCATCCGCTACGTAAAAACTTGCTGGATGAGTTGGCGGTTCATTCTGCTGTGTCGACCCCAGATTAATAAAGGGACTAAGCAAAATGAATAATAAGGCACAAGAAAATTAATGAATCAATGAATATATATATACAGTTGAAGTCAGAATTATTCGCCCCCCTGCTTATTTTTTTCCTCAGTTTGTGTTTAACAGAGAGCAGATTTCTGCAACACATTTCTAATCATAATAGTTTTAATAACTCATCTCTAATCACTGATTTATTTTCTCTTTGTCATGATGACAGTAAATAATATTAGACTAGATATTCTTCAAGGCACTAGTATTCAGCTTAAAGTGACATTTAAAGGCTTCACTAGGGTAATTAGGGTAACTAGGCAGGTTATTGTATAACGATGGTTTGTTCTGTAGACTATCGCCAAAAATATAGCATAATGGGGTTAATAATATTGACTTCCTTGGTCTTATCCATATTTCTTTAAATGTTGATCACACGTCCACCACAACTGGAAAAAAACGTAACTGCGTTAATTGTGTTAATTTTTTTAACACATCAAATATTTCAAATTAATAACATTCGTTAACGCACTAATTTTGACAGCACTAGTATTAACTTTATAAATTAATACAATATGGAAGTTTACGGAAATTTAAAAAAAAGCTTTACTGTTTTTACTGTTTTTTTTTTTTTTTTTTTACCATAAATGTTTTTAATAATGCGGGAAAATGATGTGGGAAAACAACATTAGCATTGCTAATTTTCTAATCTTTGAGCCACAGGAAAGACATTCATTCATTCATTCATTCATTCATTCATTCATTCATTCATTCATTCATTCATTCATTCATCCATCCATCAATTCATTCATTCATTCATTCATTCATTCATCCATCCATCAATTCATTCATTCATTCATTCATTCATTCATTCATTCATTCATTCATTCATTCATTTATTCATCCATTCATTCATTCATCCATCAATTCATTCATTCATTCATCCATTCATTCATTCATTCATTCATCCATTCACTCATTCACTCATTCGTTCATTCATCCATTTATTCAGTCATCCATTCATTTATTCATTCATCCATCCATCCATTCATCCATTCACTCATTCATTCATTCATTTATTCATCCATTCATTCATTCATTCATTCATTCATCCATTCTCTCATTCATTTATTCATTCATTCATCCTTTCACTCATTCATCCATTCATCCATTCATTCATTCATTCATTCATTCATTCATTCATTCATTCATTCATCCATTCTCTCATTCATTTATTCATTCATTCATCCTTTCACTCATTCATCCATTCATCCATTCATTCATTCATTCATTCATTCATTCATTCATTCATTCATTCATCCATTCATCAATTCATCCATTCACTCATTCGTTCATTCATCCATTTATTCAGTCATCCATTCATTTATTCATTCATCCATCCATCCATTCATCCATTCACTCATTCATTCATTCATTTATTCATCCATTCATTCATTCATTCATTCATCCATTCTCTCATTCATTTATTCATTCATTCATCCTTTCACTCATTCATCCATTCATCCATTCATTCATTCATTCATTCATTCATTCATTCATTCATTCATTCATTCATTCATCCATTCATCAATTCATCCATTCACTCATTCATTCATTCATCCATTTATTCAGTCATCCATTCATTCATTCATCCATCCATCTATTCATTCATCCATCCATTCACTCATTCATACATTCATTTATTCATCCATTCATTCATTCATTCATACATTCATTTATTCATCCATTCATTCATTCATTCATCCATCCATTCATTCATCCATCCATTCATCCATTCACTCATTCATACATTCATTTATTCATCCATTCATTCATTCATCCATCCATTCATCCAGCCATTTTATTTTTGACTTAGTCCCTTTATTAATCTGGGGATTCATCCATTCATTCATCCATCCATCCATTCATCCAGCCATTTTATTTTTGACTTAGTCCCTTTATTAATCTGGGGTTGCCACAGTGGAATGAACCGGCAACTTATTCAGCATATGTTTTACGCAGTGGATGCCCTTCCAGCTGCAACCCTTCTCTGGGAAACATGCACACAAACTCACTCACACTCAAACATTACGGACAATTTAGCCTACCCAATTCACCTGTACCACATGTGTTTGGACTGTGGGGGAAACAAGAGCACCTGGAGGAAACCCACACCAACACGCGGAGAACATGCAAACTCCAAACAGAAACACCAACTGAGCCAGCCGAGGCTCGAACCAGCGACCTTCTTGCTGTGAGGCGACAGCACTACCTACTGCACCAGCTGCTTCTCTGAAAGACAGATATTAACAGTGTAAATGTAGGAAATATGGTAATTTACTGTACACATTTTCTGGTGAAATTCTGGCAGCAACAGCTGTCTTTTTTACTGTAAAGTTGACATTTTTAATGTAAATATTCCAGGTTTATTTTCATAGTGTGAGGGAATGATGTGGGAAATGGACTCATAAAGCCTCAGCATTGCTAATTGTCTCCTCATTGAGCCGCATTAAAGACTGTCTTTGCGCGTCCCTGTTGTTTATTCCCCTGTGCTGAACTTTGTTGACCAGACTCTATTTATCAGGTATTCCTCTAACGCGCCTCTAATAATGACTTCCTCTCGCTCTCAAAGACTTTCACTTTGATCTGAAAGTCTTTGCAGGCTCATTGACTGTAATGAGATCTGGAGAATCCATAAAGACGGCTGGGATTTGACTGGGAGCCCAAAACGCGGAGCTGGGAATCATCCGCATTTCACGGACGGAGCAAAAAAAATCATCCGCATTTCACGGACGGAGCAAAAAAAAACACAAAATAAAAAGGCGGCAGATCTCAGATGACTTGGCAGCGATTTCACCGTGCACCCTCCTCTCTGCCAGATCTCTACGTTAATTTCCCCACAGTCTGTAATTCCTGTGCGCGGAGAAAACATCTCGCAGGACTTTGGCGTTGGATGTTTTCTGTTTGCGGCCCAAAAGAGGCGTCCCGTACCCAGAGCCAGGCTTTCTGGAGACCTCCGGGATTTGTTTGCTCCTTTGCTTTTATCCAGGCCAGCGTTCAGACGGTGGTCAGATATGAAGATAAAGCTGGGTCAAGGAGAAGCACTTTCTCTGAACGCTCCATCAGAGGAACACACATCCGTCTGAAGATGCAGACCTGCTAAAAATACACACACACACACACACACACACACACACACACACACACACACACACACACACACACACACACACACACACACACACACACACACACACACATGGCTCTGTTTGTTCATCACGTCCAAGTAAATTAGAGGAGCAGCGGGGATAAACCACATCTGCAGACGACAGCTTAAATGAGTCCGAGAGCTTCATTAGATTATAGAGATGTAATTATGTCAAGGTGTAAAGAGTGATGGAGAATAACTCTGACAACACTTGTAGATCAGAGTCAGATGCAGATCATTTATACAAATATAGACTCTTTCCTATATCATATATTACATTTTCAATATTTTCAGTGTTAGAATGTGTCCTGTTGGATTAGATTTTTATATTTTAGAAACAAAAATTGTACCATTTAGCATTATTATATCAACAATAGTTTATGAAAATTGTATAATAACAACAACACGACAACTTAAATGAGCTTCATTAGATTATAGGGACTTAATTTTGTCAAGGTGATTGAGAATAACTCTGACAACACTTGTAGATCAGAATCAGATGCAGATCATTTATACAAATATAGACTATTTCCTATATCATTTATTACATTTTTATTGTTTTTAATATTAGATTAAAATTACATTATTATTTTATGAGCAATGAATGTGCTATTGAGCATTTATATCAACAATAGTTGATGAAAATTGTATAATAATTAAAACATGACAACTTAAATGAGTAATATTAGATTATACAGGCATTATTATGTGAAGGTGATTGAGAATAACTCTGACAACACTTGTAGATCAGGAACAGCACACTGATCACTTATAGAAATATAGACACTTTCAAATGCCAAATATTACATTTTCATTATTTTTAATATTAGAGTGTGTCCTATTTTACTTAATTAAAACATTTTATAAGTAAAAATGCACTATTTAGCATTAATATATCAACAATTGTTTATGAACAATGCATTATATTTAAAACATTGAAAACTTAAGTGAGTTACATTATATTAGGGGCGTAATTATGTGAAGGTGATTGAGAATAACTCTGACAACACTTGCAGATCAGGAACTGGAGACAGCACACTGATCACTTATAGAAATATAGACACTCAAATATTCATCTTTTAGTTTTGCTACTATTTTATGTATTTTAATGCATAATAATGTGATGGTTTTTTCTTTATTTGTATTTTTAATGAGCAGGAAAGTTTCTATTTAACATTAATACATCAGCAGTTGTTTATTTATTTATTAGTAATACTAAATAATTGAAACAGTGTAAATGAGTCCGAGAGCTTCATTAGATTATAGAGACGTAATTATGTCAAGGTGTAAAGAGTGATGGAGAATAACTCTGACAACACTTGTAGATCAGAAACTGAAGACTGCACACTGATCATTTCTATAAATACAGACTCTTCCCTCTGTTATATATTACAGTTTCACTGTTTTTAATATTAGAATGTGTCCTATTTTATTACATTTTTATTTTATGAGCAATAAATGTGCTATTGAGCATTATTATATCAACAACAGTTTATGAAAATTGTATAATAACAACAACACGACAACTTAAATGAGCTTCATTAGATTATAGGGACTTAATTTTGTCAAGGTGATTGAGAATAACTCTGACAACACTTGTAGATCAGAATCAGATGCAGATCATTTATACAAATATAGACTATTTCCTATATCATTTATTACATTTTTATTGTTTTTAATATTAGATTAAAATTACATTATTATTTTATGAGCAATGAATGTGCTATTGAGCATTAATATATCAACAATAGTTGATGAAAATTGTATAATAATTAAAACATGACAACTTAAATGAGTAATATTAGATTATACAGGCATTATTATGTGAAGGTGATTGAGAATAACTCTGACAACACTTGCAGATCAGGAACTGGAGACAGTACATATTCATATTCATATTTTAATAAACTTTTTTGCTATGTTTTAATATATTATTGAATATATATATATATATATATATATATATATATATATATATATATATATATATATATATATATATATATATATATATATATATATATATATATATATAAAAAAAAAAAAAATATATATATATATATATATATATATGTGTTTTCGTTTTTTATATATATATATAGACACACACACTCACACTCACACACACACATTCACGCATATAAAAATATATATAATGAATTTATTCGTATATATGTATATATA